ATATATATATATACGTATACGACGTTGCTCCTACTGTAATTCGCCTTTGGTTGAGGCAGTAAAAGCCCTCTTCTGAAGGTCTGGTCTACTCTGTCTGCGCTAGTAGTGGTTGGGCTCGCGTCATAGCTGGGGAGTTGTGCGCTCGTTCTCAGGTAGCGTATATCCGTTGATCGTACCCGATTACGATACACATCACTTCCTTATTCCATGCTAGACCCACAGGTGACACGTTATTTTGGATGCATAATGTGAAAACATCATTCCAGTAAGTCATAAATACTTACATCCATCTGAACTCAGTTTTGCATTATCGTGATCTTCCTTTCCGATAGCAGTAACATTCGTGTCCTGTGCAGCGGTACTGCCACATCGGTTTGCGACTGCGCTGTGTTCATTTACCAAAGTTATCGTACTGTTGAAATCTGATGAAAGTAGCTATCTCGATACACTTCATTCATCTTACACGATCCTTCTGGCGGCATACTTTTCTTCACTTTTTAATTGAGGGCAATCTCTACATGAGCTTCACATCTCCGTTTCGGTTGTAATGTACCGACTGCGTTGTGTTAGCCGGAAACGTCTTTCGTAGGAGACCTTGTTCAGTCACTGTTGCTTGTGTGTCTCCATTTGCGACAAAATGCAAAGTCATGCATGGTGCGGAGCACAGTTTTTAAACATCCATTTAAGTATTCAAAGAGCTGCAGTTGATGTTGTGTAAAGCTATACGTATTTCGGAAGTAGCATTATCTCTGACGGCAAGACAATTGTTTTTTCCAAATTTACCCCACCTCTGGTACCGAAAGGCACATCGCTGGTTCTCAAAGGACGCGTAGGTCGATCTACGGTGCGAGCTGTGCTGTTTTACGGCTGTAAAACTTGGTTGCTTCAGGCAGAGGATCTGAGACATCTTCAAATCATTGAAGAATATAGAGATATAGAAATGTAGATGGAATAAGCTTTAACCAGCAAATTCGCAATAAGATTATCTGGAAATCAGTCTCTGGTGAAACAGATGGCACTCCACTCAAAGAATGCATTCAATATTGAAAGCTGAAATGGATTGACCATGAATCATGCCGAATAGCCGGCTGCCAATACGGGCGTTGCTTTCCGTGCCTACTTTGGAGTAACGGAAACTCAGTTGGACAGAATATAACGTAGCAGAAGGGAAACGTTTGGGTGCAGCTTGTGCCCAGTTGGCACCGGTGCAGAAATTTCTGCAGATTTCTGCACCCGGGTGCGGAACCAGTGCGGAAATGAAACAAGTTTCCGCACAATATCCGCACCCGGATGCGGAAATTTCCGCACGCTTCTGCACCCGGGTGCGGAAATTTCCTCACAATATCCGCACACTTCTGCACCCGGGTGCGGAAAATCCGTACCCAGTACCGATATTTCCGCACCCAGTCCGCACTTAGCTAAAGTCGTCCGACGCGCAAATATAGCCCATTATACGGATTTATCTCTCCCTGGTACGATTCAGTAACATCCTAAACACTAAGTGATAACCCATCTGCCCCCACATAATTGCTCAGCGTATTACATTTCCGGATATCAATAAGCGCCTTCAAGTACAAATGTTTTAAT